GGGCAGGTTATGGGCGGTTCCCAAAGTTGTTCCCTGTGGTGGCCTGTGCCAAGGCGAGAACCGAGGCGTCACCAGCTCCTGAGTGTGCTGCGTGTACTGGACTGAACACGGTCCCCCCAAATTCCTGTTCTTTGCAGATATAATTAGTTAAATTAAAACGAAGCCATACTGGATGAAGGCGGCCATCATCTAACATGACTGGTGTCCTTGTAAGAGAAAACAGACACACACAGAGAGAAGGCGATGACGGTGCGCACAGCCACGAGCTAAGGAACGCCCAGGAGAGCCCAGGAAGAAGAGGCTGGAAGGGGCAGGAAGGGGCCTCCCCCAGAGCCCTCAGAGAGAGAGAGCGGCCCTAGCCCACCCCTCGATCTCAGAACTCTGAGAGAATAAATTCTGTGGTTGAAGCCATCTGGTTAGTGACAATTTGTTAAAGACAGTCCTGAGAAACTAATAAAGTCTTTTATTTAGTTACAATAAAGTTTCAGTCATACTAACAATAGAAAAATTCTGCCTTTGGTCATTCAGATTTAGCAGCTATTTGCTGGCATTTGGTTTTTTGGCCTCTGCCCTCTGATGCGCAAACACTTGGCCATGAACGCAGACTGGGCAGAAAGCGCCCTGGCCGGGGTGGAGCTTTGCCTCCGTCCCAGCTGAGGCTGGCCTCGCCTGCTGACCGTGGTGACCCGACCGTGAAGCCGGAAACCTGCATGCGCTCTCCGGTCCCTTCACGGCAGACCTATTTCCCCCGAAGGAAACTTCCAGACCAGGCGCACCTATACGCAAAGTACTTACACACACTCCACAGTTAAACCTAACTATTTAGCAATTATCTGCAATAGACCAGACACGCCCACAACATAAAGGTCCACCGGTGGATGTAAAGATAACGTGTGATACACACATTCGTCGGAACATTATTTGCCCTTGAAAAAGGGAGACATTCTGCCCCACGAGGCAGCAAGGATGGACCTTGAAGACAGTGAGCTAAATGCAAGTCACAGAAAGACAAATACCGCGGGGTTCTAGCTATATGAGCTATCTAGAACAGTCAAGTTCGTAGAAGCAGAGGGTACAATGGTGTTTGCCAGGCACTCGGTGGCGGGGTGCGGGGCAGGGAGGTCGCTAATCCATGGGCATAAGGTCTTGGTCAGGCAGCTGACCAGCTCCAGAACTCTGCTCCCTACAGGGACGATATCGTGCTCTTAAAAACGCGTTAAGAAGGTAGACCTTACATTAGGTGTTCTCCCAACAGTAAAATAAAAAACTAGCAAAAAAAAATTTTTTTGTCTTTAAAATCAAAATGCCATTTTTGTGCACTTTAACACACGTTTCATTACCCACCCCCCACCAAATACTTAAAAATTATCATTGCGTTCTCTTCCATTAGCCTGGATAATTTAATTTTATTTCATTTTTTAAAAAGTTTTATTCATTTTGAGAAGGAGGGAGAGTGAGTGAGGGAAGGGGAAGAGAGAGAGAGAGAGAGAGAGAGAGAGAGAGAATCCCAAGCAGGCTATCAGCACGGAGCCTGATAAAGGGCTCAAACCCCTGAACCAGGAGATCGTGACCGGAGCCAAAGTCAGATGTTTAACGCACTGAGCCACCCAGGCGGCCTCGCTGGGGTGATTTTCAAGTAGTGTCACTGCTGCGCGTTTATACTGTAGTGTTTTCATAGTAGCAACTGCCAGGCTGCACCTGCTGCTCTGAAACCCAGAGCTTTATCGCAGGGCAGCGCTTCGCAGGGGCTGTGACCAGGCGGGTGGGAGGTCCGGGGACGCCTGCTTCCCCGCGGCTCCTGGCCGTCCTCGCGGCACGGGGACCCCCGCGGCCTTGCACAACCTTGACCTTCCTCGCCCGGCTTCCCGCCCTGGCTCCCTGAGCTCACTGGTGTTTGACCCACAATCGCCACACCCGGTGGCTTGGAAAACCCGGACTAAGTCGTCCCGTGAGTTTCCACAGTAGCCCTGGCGGGAGACACTGCCGTCATCCCCATTTCACGGATGAGCAGTCAGAGGCACAGAGCGTCGGGCATCAGGTGGCGGGGGCGGGGCGGGGGGGAGCAGTGAGGAAGGTGGTTCACTTCCTGAGGCTGAGCTCGGCCTTTCCTGTTAAGTTTTAGCGTTAATTATTTCTTCACAGCTGTGATGACAGGAAACACGTTTTTGAAGGTTTTAAAGTAGGCGCACGGTCGTTTTTCCAGAACAGCCAACATTCTGAACTTTAGCACATTTGGTGAAATCTTTCAGAGTAGACCTTTCAGATTGAAGTGCTCTGAAAACATGCTCCCACGCAATACTACCCTCTGATTTTCAGAGACCGATTCGCTTTAGTTTGTTTCCTTTTTTTTAAAAAAAATTTTTTTACATTTATTTATTTCTGAGAGACAGAGAGAGAGAGCACAAGTGGGGGAGGTGCAGAGAGAGAAGGAGACACAGAATCCAAAGTGGCTCCAGGTTCTGTCAGTACAGAGCCCCACGTGGAGCTCGAACTCACAAACCTCGAGATCATGACCTGAGCCGAGATCAAGAGTTGGACGCTTAGCCGAGAGCCACCCAGGCGCCCTTAGTCTGTTTCCTTTTAACGTGACAATGGTCTTAAAAGGCTTCACGTTAAGGTGTGAGAAACAAGTGGCCTGCTGTCCCAGGAAAGGTTACTTTTCTTGATCAAAATGCGACACTCTTACTAACCTGTGGCCCTGGCACTGCGCCTGTGAGCGCCACCTGGAGAAGGCGCCGGGCAGCGTGCCCACCAGGAGCCACCCAGCCGGCCCGCCTCCGCCACACACGACCGCGGGGCCCTCACACCCCGGTGTGACTCTCCAGGGATGCGACGTAAGGCTGTGGTGACTCCCATTTGAGTGTAGCCATGTTTGTGAGCCTGCACACATGCCACACACACAGCTCACGCGCACCTTACACACACCTCACACGTGTAGTACACCATAATCCACAGCACACACACCAAACCCACACCTTCCACACCACACACCCACACATCCACACTCACACCACCCAGACCACACCCCCCCACATACCTCATACCCCACACATCTACACCACACAACACATCCATACCCCCCCACATACTACGCACACACGTCACACCTCCCCACACTCCTCACACACACCATACCGCACACATCCACAGCACACACCACACACACACCCCCCCCAACACACCACATACCTTACATCCACACCCATACCCCCTACACACACCACACACATCCCACACCTCACTTCCCACACCACCTCCCACACACCACACTTCCCACACATACATACACCCGTACACTCATATCACACCCCCCACGCCTCTCCCCACAGACCTCACACACACCACACTCCGCACATCCACACCTATACTCAGACCCACTAAGACACACACTCACACCATACCCCCTCATCCCCCACTCCATACACACTGCACATACCACACACATACACACACACACACAGCACACACAACTCAGGCTGGCAAAGTGCTTGGGAAGAAGGGAGGGCCTTGTCTTGAAGACACCACAGCCCTAAAGCTGATTCTGGAAGGATTCTCCACCCAGCCCCATGGAGCACTGGGGCTATGTGGGGTCCTGACCCCCTGTAGGGGTCTGAGGACGATGGGGCTGCCTGGGAGCTAGGGGCCCAGCTCTCTGCCACCATGGATACAACCTTGGACAAGAGGGGGTTATACAGAATGACCCGGAAGCAGCACTTGCCAAGCCAGCACCTTCGGCAGGTGCCTGTGTACTAGTTACAGGAAGAGCGACTAGCGAGGTCAGGCTGGGGCCTGTCTCTGCCCCGTGGCCCCTATCACCTCGGCGCTTGGGGGACGATGTCCGTGAAGACGCCCTCCAGCCCCCACCTTGCACTCCCTGCTACCGTCTGCTCCCAAGATGGCGCCCACAGTGAGCCCCACGGACGCCTGGGCCTCAGCCCCAAGCTCTTCCTCCACCTGCTTCCTTTCCTGGGTCCTGAACCATAACCACTGGTACCGCAGCCCCCTCGGGGAGGGCTCTGGGAGGGGGAGAGACAATTGCCCATTTCCCTCCAGCTCTCATGGCCCCAAGTTTCTGACCCGTGAAGGAAAGAGGCTGGGGGAGTCTGAGTTACCTGAGGAGGCTGCCTAGGGTCGCGTCTGCTCAGCTGAGTGCGGCGGCAGGTGACCCGGTGTGGTGGTGGTACACTGGTGCTGAATATTCTAGAAGGTAATGGCGTTGGGCCCCCGAGTAAGGGTAGGCTGGCCTGCAAGGCAGAGGGGAGGCAGAGGCGGGGGTGATGGCCCTGACACCCCATCAGTCGTCCTGAGGAGGGGCAGGTCCTGAGCTGGGAGGCCTTGCAGGGTGGAGCGGGTTGGGGGCTGCAGGGACCTCAGAGGAGAGGTGTGAGCTCAGAGGACATCAGGGAGGAACAGTGTGGAAGCTCCCTGTGGGCGTTCAGAACCTTCTGGAAGGTGACTGTCGGCGGTGTTTGGAAGGAGCCGTGAACGGAAGAGCAGCAGCAGCCTGGAGGGGTGCACTGGTCGGCGGAGGAAATGCCAGAAGAGCCCTCGGGGGCAGAATGCAAGTGGGTCCCTGGGCCCGAGGAGGCATCTCTGAGGAGGGGCCTCAGCACAAACTGAAGGAGCCCGGCCTCCTCCTGTCTGTGAACCGCAGGCCTCAGAGCTGGGGTGGGGGTGGGGTGGGGTGGGGGCATCCGAGGCCCATCTTCAGCGCACACGGCCCCTCGGCACCATCGTCCCCACAAAGGTCCCTGTGACAGAGGAAGGTGGACTCAGAAGGGGCTGTGTTCCTTCCCCCTTTCTACCCTCGGCCATCCATACCCAGAAATAATGACACTTGCCAAATTTGAGGACATCTTTTTTTTTTTCATTTTTTTAAACGTTTATTTATTTTTGAGAGACAGAGAGACAGAGCAGGAGCGGGGCAGGGGCAGAGAGAGGAGACCCGGAATCCGAAGCAGCTCCAGGCTCCGAGCTGTCAGCCCAGAGCCCGACGCGGGGCTCGACCGGGAAGTCACTTAACCGACTGAGCCACCCAGGTGCCCCCTTGAGGGCATCCTTTTAATCACCAGCTCTCGTCCACCGTCTGGCGGGGGGGTTGGAACAGTAAGAGACAGAGCTGGGGACCCTCCCTGGAAATAAGGACAATTATGCTCTGCTCCCTCCTGGCACCTGGGCTCCCCCCCCCCCCGCCCCTGTTTCGCCCTCCAGCCGGGGGCTTAAGGTTAATGCCAGCAGCACAACAGCTCCGAAAACCCTGTTAGCTCTTCCTGGGGGACACAGAAAGGGATCTGGGGCCTACTCTGCTATGGGGGTCCCCGAAGCTCTCGCCAGGCCAGGCAGGGGCCCGCGTCTCCCCCCACCCCTCCCCGCCGGGCCGCGGGTCTACACGATGCCCTCCGGGCGCTTGCTCCTCCAGACCACCAGAGCCGTCACCAGCAGGGTCACCAGGATGGGCGCCACGATGAAGGGGCAGAGGACGCTTCGGGGCGGGTCGCGCACAGCCCTGCCGGAGACGGGGCAGCTTCTGAAGTAGCGCCGGTGGACGGCCACGAAGAACTTGTCCACGGCCGCGTTCGGCCAGAAGCAGTCCAGCTGGTCCGCCAGGTGCCCGGTGCAGTCGGTGAGCGCGCGGTAGCTCCTACAGCGGGAAAGCGGCCCATTAGCACCCCCGCGGGGCAGAGCACCCAGCCCGGCTCTTCCCCCCAGCCCGCCGCGCCCTGGGAGTCCACGCCCGGGGCAGTGGCCCTGGCTCCCGGAGACCAAGGCCCTGGGCGGTCTCGTGGGGGGTCCCCACAGTCCCGCACGCGCCCACACCCTGGACGGTGAGCTGGGGCTCGGGCCGTCCCTCCCTGCTCCCAGGGGCTGGACGCGCCTGCGAGGACAGCCTACAGTGTGGGCCAGTCAGGCGGGTCTGACAGTGGCCTGGCTCAAGAAGCCGTCGTCGGTGCGCAAATCGGCAGGCTCTCCAGCACCTTGCCGTCCCCTCACCCATGCGTGCCCCCCAGCAGGCCTTATCACCCAGCCCCCCCCCCCCCGAGCCTCCCGGAGTGCTCATCACCCCTCATGGTCCAGAGTGACACCTTAATTTTATTTACTGGGTGTCAGCGCTGAGGACAGGGACCTGGGCTGTTTTGTTCACCTCTGCAGTCCCAGTCTAGAAGAGTACTTGGCACGCGGCAGCGCGAGTCAGCTGCTTTGTCCTTTTTTTATTGTGGTGAAGTATAAATCGTGTAATTTTTTTTTTTTTTACCATTTTAACCATTTAAAAAATTGTATTTATTTGTTATTTGTTTTGACAGAGAGAGAGAGAGCACAAGCAAGTGGGGGAGGGTCAGGCAGAGAGAGAGAACGAGAGAGAGAATCCCAAGCAGGTTCTTTCTGCGCTGTCAGAGCAGAGCCCGACACAGAGCTCGATCTCATGAACCATGAGATCATGACCTGAGCCAAAACCAAAAGCCAGACGCTCAACCGACAGAGCCAAGCCGGCGCCCCTATTTCTTTCTTTCTTTATTTATTTCTAGGAGAGAGAGAGAGAGACAGCGTGAGCAGGGGAGGGTCAGAGAGAGAGGGAGACACAGACTCTGAAACAGGCTCCAGGCCCTGAGCTGTCAGCACAGAGCCCGACGCGGGGCTCGAACCCACGAACCGTGAGATCATGACCTGAGCTGAAGTCGGATGCTTAACCGACTAAGTCACCCAGGCACCCCAGCCGGCGCCCCTATTTTAACCGTACAGTTCAGTGGCATTAAGTATATTCCCGTTGTTGTGCAGCCATCAGCATTGTCCATCTCCAGAACTTTCTCATCTTCCCAAACAGACGCTCCGTCCCCGTTAAACACCAGCTCCCTGTCCCCCTTCCCCACACACCCTTTTGCTCTCTGTCCCTGAGCGTGACTGCTCTAGGGACCTCAGGTAAAGCGGAGTCACACAGTGTCTGTCCTTTGGCGACTGGCTGTTTCACTCGGCACGATGTCCTCTGGGTTCACCTGCGCTGTAGCAGGCGTCCGGATTTCCTTCCTTCTCAAGGCTGAAGAACGTTCGGTTTGCACATCCTTCATTGCGCTTGCTTGCCGTCCTGGGTTGGCTCAGCTACTGCGAGGGACGCTGCTGCTGCGGACACAGGCGTATGAACGTCTCCTGAAGACCTGCTTTCGTTTCTTTTGGGTGTGTGCCTGAAAGGGTGCTGTCGGCTGTGGTGGCTCTGTGTTTACGCTGTGAGTGAATTACTTTATTACTTTTTTAAAGTTTATTTATTTATCCATTTATTATTTTTTGTTTTTTTAAATTATAGCTTATTGTCAAGTTGGTTTCCATCATTTATTATTTTTAATGTTTATTTTTGAGAGAGAATGAAAGCAGGGGAGGAGCAGAGAGAGAGAGAGAGAGTGGGACAGGGGATCGGAAGTGGCTCTGTGCTGACAGCAGCAAGCCCAACACGGGGCTCAAACCTGCAAACCGTGAGATCATGACTGGAGCTGAAGTCACTCAACTGCCTGAGCCACCCAGGTGTCCCTTTTTATTCATTTTTGGTGAGAGAGACAGAGAGAGCATCCCAAGCGGGCTCCACACTGTCAGCGCAGAGCCCAACGTGGGGCTCGATCCCACGCACTGTGAGAGCGTAACCTGAGCCGAAACCAAGAGTCAGACGCTTAACCGGCTGAGCCACCCAGGCGCCCCTAAGTAAACTACTTTTTAATAAGTGAAAATTGAAATTGGGGGAAATTAAAAGGTAGTTTCCAGAAGGCCAGTCCCTTCTGCTTCTACTGACCAGGTAGAAAGCTGTTAAACAAACAAAAACAAAAACAAAAATAAAAAAAAGCCAAAGAAACCACAAAACCGCATGTTTTCTGGAGTGTCGGCCAGAGAGCAGAGACCTCAGAGCAGTGAGGACCGTCCCACCAGGGGCAGAGCCTGGGAACGACAGACGCGAGCAGAAACCCACGACGGACGGACTGCCAAAGGCCGCCTGAGGGCTGGAAGGTCAGTCTGGGATTCCTGGGGCCCCAGACACTCTGGTGGTCTTGTGACTCACCACGTCTTCCCACGAGGCTCCAGCGGGGGCTCGTGAGAAGGAGGAGCAGCAGGCAGGAGGCGGGGCCCGGCACAAGCGTGAGACAATTCTCGAATAATTCTCACGCAAGAATCGACAGCCTCAGACCCGTTCAGGAAGGGCGGCCGACCGTGAGGAACAGACCCAGACCCTTCTCTCCTGGGGAGCAAAAGCCTTAAGCTGCCGAGGGAGGGAGGGCACAGCCCGCCAGCGCCAGGGCACAAGAAAGATGCGCTACGGCTCACAGAGGAAGGGCAAGGCTCTTCCCTTGGGCGGGCGGGCCTCGGGTCCTGCGTGAGGCCAGACAGAGGGGCAGGAATCTGCCGGCCGAGATCCCACAGACGCAGGGCCCGGTCGGGCCGCCACAGGGAGGGGCCCGAAGGCACGTGGCCTGTCTGCGCCGAGGCTCTGCCCGCCGTACGGACCTGGCCCAGAACAGCCAGCAGCCCCTGCCCAGGCGAGGTGGACAGAGAGCCGCCGTGTGGCACAGGCACGCGGGTGCGGACGCTGCCCTGAGGAGCCGTCACCGGCTCCCACTCGGGGCGCAAGGCAACGGTGGCCCGTTGCTGTGGGAGTGGAGGCCGTGGTGCTCTGCACGTAACCATGGCAACCCCAGACCCCAGGCCCAGCTCCGTCCCTGACACGAAGGTCTGGCAGAAGAGGTTCTCCCACTTCCAGAGATCAACACTCAGTCACCTCGGGCTCTGAGGCTCTGCGCGCGGGTGTTCCGTGTTCGGACACAAAGCCAGCAACGTTTCACTCAGAAGCAACAAAACCCAAGCAAGCCGTTGCCAAGAGATCAAACGATCAACAGAATCAGACTCAGGGATGACCCAGCTGTTGACCCTATCACGCAGGGACCCTGAGGGGATGACTATGACCAAGGGGCTAGTGGAGAAGGGACATAACCTACACCGGCAGAGCGCGTCGCAGAGACGCAAGCTGTAAGAAAGCCAGAGAGAAAGTGAAGTATCAGAATTTTCTGGATGGGCTCATCAGCAGACCTGACATCGGAGTCTGTGACCTGAAGGCAGGTCAGTAGAAATTCCTCAGACAGAAACACAGAGAGAAAAAAACCAGAGCATCCCTGTGGTAAAGTAAAAACACCACTCCAGCTTGTAACTTGAGTCCCCGGAAGGAGAAGGAACGAGGCAGAAAAAGTATGGCTGAAGAGTTTCCAAAAACAGTGAGATATTGGTCTGCAAATCCAAGAAGGTCAGAGAAACTCAAACAGGGCCAAAATCAAAGGAACGGAAACAGCAAACAGAGCCACACAGACCTGTCAGTCAAACAAGCAGCTGAAAACCAAAGACAGAGAAAAAAATTCCAAGGAAAAACCCCAGAGTCTGTCAGAGAAAAAAGACACTTACAGAGGAGCCATGGGAAGCTCTCAGCAGACATCTTACGGGCGACGGTGCAGGCCAGGGGACATGGGGTGACAAAGTCCTGGTACTAATGGTGGGGAACACACCCCCTCTGTCCAGAGTCCCACACCCAGCAAAAATAGCTTCCACACATGAAGTTGCCAATAAAGACTTTCTCAGAAAAAAAAGGAGCTGAGAGAATTCATTGCCAGCAGATGTGTGCTATAAGAAATGTGAGTTTTTCTTTTTCTTAAAAATTTTTTTCAAATGTTTATTTATTTTTGAATGAGTATGTGAGAGAGAGAGAGAGCATGAGTGGAGAGGGTCAGAGAGAGATGGAGACACAGAATCCAAAGCAGCTCCAGGCTCTAAGCCATCAGCACAGAGCCCAACGCGGGGCTCGAACCCACGAACCGTGAGATCGTGACCTGAGACAAAGTCGGACGGTTAACCGACTGAGCTCCCCAGGCGCCCCAGAAATGTTAGTTTTTCATTCAGAGGAATATAACAGAAGAAGTAAATAGAGACAGTAAAAATGAAGATGTTTAAAGATACTTTTCTGAACTTCCTGATTTTTGATCTAGCAAGTGGGGGACAGAGTGGAGGCCACAGACGGACGCTGGGCAAGGCTGGGCGTGCCCAGCGGCCCAGCGCCCCTCCCGCAGCTACTATGTTACGTGCGCTCCAAGTCGCTAAGCCACTGTTTTCTCGGGTCACTGCCCCGAGCGCCCTGGGACCGCAGACACCCCCCCCCCAGTCCAGGTGGGGGGAGCTGGGAGGGCGAGGCCCCCGGAGGGACAGGGTGGGCTGAGGTGACAGCAGCTGGTGCGTGTGGGACCCGCGCCCGATGGGGTGTGCGGTTTCCCAGGCGAACAAGGACTCGTGTTTCAAGTCAAAGCAGACGTGGCAAGAGCCGCAGGAAGTCGTGACAGGTCGGGGCTCACGGTCACCAGGAAGGAATGAGCACGTAGCAGGTGTCTGGCACGAGGCACGCGGAGTGTGGCCGGTGTTGTGAAAGCCCGAAGTCCAGCCTTCTGAGCTGGTCGCTGACCGGCTACGGGGACACGCGTTGTGAGCGCTGGTTTGGACGACGTGCCTCCTCCCCGGCCTCAGAGCCGCCAACCCCCAGGAGTTTCTGGGGTTCAGCAGGACCAGTGACAGGCACGCAATCTACATGGCGTGCCCCCTCCTCTGTGCCGGGGGCGGGGGTGGAGCTGGGATGTC